ATAGCTTTGGACTACTAAATTACTTCCTCCCACAGTGTATGCCCAAAGATGCCACACCCTTGCATTTTTATTCCTAAGAATTAAATGCCTACTACTGGTAGGCTAGGTAAATGCTAGGTACTGGGGATATGACAGAGAACACAGACCCTGGCCTCATAAAGCTATCAGTCTACCTGGGAAGACAGATAATAAGCAATTACAATACACTACACAGAGTTAAAAACAGGGTTGAGGTGAAAGACTTGTGGCAGAGTCCTCTAACAGCTGAAGAGGCTTCAGAGAAGTCTCCGAGAAATACTGTGTTTAAGCTAAGACCTGAAGGCTAAGAACATGATAAATGGGTGAACTTTGGGAGAAGAGTGTTCAGGCAAACCACCCTTGCAGAGGAAGTGTAATGTTTTTCAGAAACTGAAACAAGTTCATTCTAGCTATAGCATCGGGAGGGGAAGGGAGAAAGGTGGCACTGTCGAGATTGTAAACGATACTGTTTAGAATCTCTCCTAAGTGGCCTTAAGGAGTGACACGGTAAAAATTTGTGCTCTATAGACTATTCTGGGGGAGCATGTGTGGAGAATAGGTTGTAGGGATGCGGGACAAATGCCAGAGAGGGCAGTCAGGAGGCTGCTGGAATAATGTGGACTAAGTAATGGCAGAAGTGGAGGGATACAGCAAGATGAGAGAAATTTAGGGGGCTGTACCAACAGGATGTGATGAGCGATTTGGAGATGATTCAAAGATGACTCATGGGGTTGTGGCTTGATAATTGTTGATATTAGGAATACTCAATGAGAATGGAAATCCAACACCCAGACACAACACTTTTATCTCCCTGAGTGGTGGTAGGAGAGGGGGTTGGGGGCAGGTTCAGGGCAAGGGAGTGGAGGTGGAGAATGAGGTCAATTCTGGATACACTTTATTTAGGATGTCTACAAGATAATCCCAGTGGATGTTTCCAGTAGGCAATTGGATATATAGTGTATGCGCTGAGTTGGGTTTAGAGCAAGATATACATTTGAGAATGATAAACATACAATTCAGTGTTTTCTCAACCTTAAAAAAAAAAAGATCCATGCCTATTTGATCAGTCAAAAAATGACCTCCCTTCTGTTCCCCAAATGAGAACAATTAATGTGGATGATAAAGGACGCCATGGGAATAAACAATGTTTTTTTCAGGGAAATGGTAGAGGGAGAAGAGAAAAGAACCTAAGACAGAACCTTGAAGAATACCTATGTCTAAGGGAGAGGGGGCGTGGGGGGGGCTTTCAAGAGATTGAAAAGTGAACTGGTTTCTCCCCTTCACTGATTTCTTGTCATCTATATTCTAAGTAAGGGGAAAGGAATCTGGATGGCAAAGGGGGGGAAAGATAAGCATCTTCTAAACCTTTTGTAAGCTTTGGAACCTACCTAAAAGGAAGGTTGTTAACTTGCATTTCTCTTGCTGTCGTTGGGCCTAAGCTACATGTGTACAGAGGAACCAGCGGGCTACTGCAGGGCAAATGAGAGGTGACGCAGGTCCTCATTCACTGGTTCAACTAATTCATGCAGAGGTCTAATGAAGTTTTTACATTTCTCTCTCTTTCTCCTCCTTCCCCTTTCTTTTTCAAATGAAAGTAGAAAAGTAAATGGATGCAAATTCTGCTCCTGACTTCTGGAAAGTGAAGTCTAATTCCAATCCAGGCCCCATGTTGCAAGTTTGGTTAATAAATGCAATACAGTAATTCTAGAAGCTAGTAATTGTAGCAATTCAGTGTATCCCAGGACTCTCACTCTAGCTGGATCAACTCTTCTGAGCTTTTGTATAAATCCATAGTGTCACAACCGTCTTGGCCAGGTCCAGGACCTTTAAAAAAAAAAGTCCTGGTTTAAATCTGATTGAAAATACAGAACACTGTAAAGCACAGAACTTGAACACAACGTACATTTGGGGGCTGACTCCTTATCTAGACTCATGGCATCTACCAACAGAAAAGTTCTTCGTAGTTCAGAGAATAGTAATTCTGTATATCAAAGAATATATAATAAGCATTGCTATAAAAAATACTGGCAGCTGTGGGGCTGCCCTTTCATAGAACTACTGGTACACAGTAACTATGTCTTTTCATGTTTTATGATTAATTATAGTCTGTAAGAGAAAATACTGTGGTATATATTTGTATTTGTACTTAATTTTTACTGAGGTTTGATTTTAGCATTTACTGTTAAGTCAATGATCTGACCCAGAGAAAATTATGATGACTACAATATTCTATATATTAAGTACAGCATTGGAAAATGTACTCAGTATCCTGGTTTTATGATATGCAGTATTTATTTTTATTGTTATACTTGGTGCTGTTATTGAATCAATCAAATTATATTACAAATTAGAACCATACAGTGTTTAAGGATGAACTTTTTATTCTATGTGCCTGTTACAGATGAAAAAGGAGGGGAAATAGTGTGTCACAAAGTTCTATGACAATTTCCATAGCTAGAAGAATTAAAAATTAAGGGAGAAAGAATAACATAGGAGTAAATACCTACCAATAAATGTCCAGCAATACTATTTTCATCTGAAAATAATCTAGAAAATAAAAGTCTGTGTTGAAAGATAAGTAGTGTATCCAAATAGATCACTCCAGTTGAGTCAGCTGCTTGTGATTCTATTTTTTTTTCTTTAAATCAACAAAGGCAATTGACATTACCATTTTGTTCTTAAATAGGAAGAAAAATAACTGGGAATGACCCACCAAAATATTAACATAAATTTTGTTTTTTCAAATTCCTTGACTAACTTAAGTAACTAAATAAACATTTAGATATAATTTCTATTATCAGCATTTCATAGCTAATAATTATTACTCAAATTAGTTTTCCATTGATAGTAATTATATCAACAACTTGCCAAATATAGAAATGTTCTAAGTTTGAGAGAAACTATTTCAAAGTCCAGATATATAGCTTTGAACCCACACAAGGATTTTTAAGGTTAGGACATGACATGTACCAAGTATGTTTAGGGGCATTAGGATTTACTTCCTCAGTAGCCCTTAGAGTTCAGTGCTGATATTAATGATCCCTCAAAGTAGATATAGATATTTATATCCAAATTCTCATACCTCAGGATTCATGTAAATAATGTATGTCAATTACTTTTGAAATTACTGCCAAAAGATTAGTTTTAAAAACCATCTGACAAGGCTTGCTTCTTAACTTTTAGCTTTTATTCTGAACACTCATTATAAAACCATTTACTTTATCTCTAGAAGAAGCAAATTACTTGATTATAACCCTCTACCATCTCAAAAAACTACCTGTCCCTGGACTTGCAAAGTTAGAAAGTCATGAACAGAAAACTGAAGAAGGTAGAAGAGGTAGAAAGGCATAGAGACCTTGGGTAGTCCTTCAGTTATACTGCTTAGCAACACGGCAACAAAAGAGCGATGACAGACAGCAATTGTCCTAATCTAGGTCAATACAACAGCCAAAATACTTTGTAAACACTTTCTTTGGCTCTTTCTGGAGATCAACACTGTTCTAATTAAACAGCATGAGAAGGGCTTGATAACAACCTAAGAGTTCATCAATATTTACTTATCCAACACCTTTTATCCAAGAATCTTAAAATCAGCTAATACTAATCATAACTCAGTAACTGAGAGAGGTAGGTACTAAGGTAAACTGCAAAGGCCAAGAACAGAAATTGGGAGTGTGTGCCATTGAATAATATTTGTGAGCTAAAGACTGCTGCCTTATATGGCTCTGAGTATGTAAAAAAGAAGTATTATCTACTCTCCTTTAACAAACCCAAACTCAGCATTAACAGGATAATACCTTTTTTTTTTTTTTTTTACTATGTTTCATTTGTATTTGTACCTAATTTTTACTGAAGTTTGATTAAGTTTGATTTTCAGAGGACAATGTTTAGTCATTGAACTTACCCAGAGAAAACTATATTGACACAGAATTTTAGATATTACATTATTTTTAATATTATTTTAAATATTAGATTAAAGTCTATAGTATCCCATGTGCCAATTATTAGTTATCTTTCCATTTGAGGTGAAGGGTTTGTGTTATGCCATACACACCATCTTCCTTGTGACCAAGAGTGAATTTGTGAGATGGATACCTAAGAGAAGGTGCAGTCTGTAGCCATGAATAGTTCTGTGTATGTGTGTACAGTTAATAAACACCTAAAAGGATTGAACTCTTGTCCTTAGCCTCATTAGCACCATGCACCAACTGCGTTGACTGGTTGAAACTGTTAGATAAGAGAGTGCAAACTAAAAGGAATAGGAACAAAGGAGGGTTGTATTTCATCATCTTAAGGTTTCACAGAGATGATGCAAGTTTACAATTCAAATTCCCATCTCCTGAAAAATGACTTCTTAAATAACTCTCAAAACTCAGAAGTGCAGTAATCTGAAATTATTCTAATCTAAAAACTTTAGAGAATAACCAGTTACTACAATTGATGTTCACTGTAAGGAATACATAGCTATACAAAATATAGCTACACAAAAATAGAACTCAGTGAAAAAATAACATGTTTTAAAGCAAGAAAGATGCTTGTTTTGGATTCTTATCAGTAGTGGCTAATTGGATAAATGCTAAAGATTTACATTCAAGTGCTGGAAGGATTACTGCACAAAAATTCAATTACTCAAAATCTTTGCTCAGACGTCTCTCAGGCTTATTAAAGATGAGATGATGTATGAACCACCAAGAGTGGCATTTAACCCCAGCCACTTTCAAGATAATGCATACAGCTGTTAAGACATTCCAGAATGTTAAGACATTCACTGATACTAAGAGTGGTATTAAAAAAAAAAAGACCTCATACAGTCTGCTGGCATTTCATACCAAACTTTGGAGGAGGTAGTAAAGTGTTGGAATTTAAAATACAAGGTCAGCACTAAGTGTAAACAATTCTAAAGCATTGTATGCAATTCTTTAAACATATGTAGTGGAAAAAATCAGAATTCATATAAAATCAGAATTTAAAAAAGCAAAAAATAGAAATATTTAGTGAATTTACTCAAATGAAGAAAACTTAAATGATACAGAACTGAAAATATTAGAAATCTATATACAATAAAAAGTGAATATAAATTAGCCAACTCCATGGACATTTCCAGTTAAGCATTCATACAAATACACAGTCACCTTTTTCTTATGTATGGGGATAACACATACACATATGACATGATGATTCTGGCAAAAAAAATAAATCAGAGATACTAAAAATATTCTCAAGTTTTAAGAATGGTGTGGAATAAGTTTAAACAACAACATTCTACATGAATGGAAACCCCTGATTTAATTCCATGATTTTATCATGCCAGAATCATGGTTGGTTTTAATTTTCTTAAACAGATATTGGTATCATACACATTGGCTTATTAATAATTAAGGCATTCTGCATACACAGTATCTCAGTGTGAACAAAAAACTTTTAGTATTGATTATCTGCTATGGTTTAAACTTTCAAAGTCTTTTCAACATAAGAAAATAGTAGCTGCACACATTTAAGTGTTTTTTTATAAAACACAATCTTAAAAAAAGTAATGATGATTGGTCTTTATAATTCCTAGTAATAAGTCCTGTCTTATTTTTCACATAGTATAAATTATATTCTTATGCAGGATTGCATTAAGACCCAGTAGTTCTTAAACAATGTTACCAAATAACCATATAAATCCCAAATTGCAGCAAAGGTGAACAATCTTCATAGTGCACTTTCACCTCACTGAAGTTGAAGCTGCTCCTTTTGGATATTTTTCCACTTCAATGTGAAGTAGATCCTTAGCGTTTCATTAGTGGTTTCATTATGTGGCTTTTTAAAGGAAAAAATGGTTTTGATTTCTTCCACAGTTCACAGTTCTCAGTTGAGACATTTTTGGGGAAATCATATAGTCCAGGGGTGTTTTGAATAACCAAATGCTATTTAGTAGATGAAGTCTCTCAATGCAACTGTAATAAATAAGCATCTACATCCTTAGAGAATAAAACAAAAACATTTCATTAGCCAGTACTGTAAATACAACACATACACACACCCCATTTTCTTCTCCCTTTTGGTCACTAGCTTTGCCTGTTTCCCTTTGTGACCTTTTGAGGGCAAAAGATTTGTCTTACTCAACATTTTCTCTGCACTTTTGTAGCACACAGCATGTGCTCAATAAGTGTTTGCAAAGTGCTTAGTGAATGTTTTAGTTTCTGTGATCAAACAACTCTGCTTTTATAGAGTAAGCAAGATCATTACATCATTCACAGCAACTCCTTCAGTGCTATATAAACTCTAGACCAGCTTGAGGATAGCCGTTCTGATTTCTACCCTCAAAAAATTGCATTGAGGGTTTAATATTGTAAAAGAGGTTTTATCATAGCTTAAGGAACTTCATAGATCTTTTAATCACTCAATATTGTTTGCAATAATAAATACAGTATCTTAAGGTTATGTTCACAATAAAGCTTCTCCCTTTATAAAAAATTACAATTGAAAGCAAATTTCTAAGGAAACAATTTTTCAGTTCTACTACTAAGAAGACAAGGCACTTCCAGAAAAAGGTGATATATCACGTATTCTATTTTCTATCAACTTTTACTTCATTTTCCCTCCTATTATCAAAAGAACAATTAAAATTGTAACAATAAAAAAACTTCAGGAAATTGATTTCCGTTCATAACATTTTCATCATTAAGAATTCTACACAGGGCTTCCCTGGTGGCGCAGTGGTTGAGAGTCCGCCTGCCGATGCAGGGGACACGGGTTCGTGCCCCGGTCTGGGAAGATCCCACATGCCGCGGAGCGGCTGGGCCCGTGGGCCATGGCCGCTGGGCCTGCACGTCCGGAGCCTGTGCTCCGCAACTGGAGAGGCCACAACAGTGAGAGGCCCGCGTACCACAAAAAAAAAAAAAAAAAAAAAAGAATTCTACACAGTAAAATTATACACAGTGGTAACACACTTGCTTGATACATCATTATGCTTCCTCTCATGAAGGTTATTTCAAGAAGAATTTTATAAGTCCAAGACATAAATCCTCTTATTGACATCATTATGCTTCCTTTCATGAAGGTATTCCAAGAAGAATTTTATAAGTAAGTCTAAGACATAAATATAAATATTGTATTTTTTTAAACTAAAGAAAGTTTTTATATTTCTGGCTAATACCAATTTATATGATAGCAGTATGCCCAATACAAGGGTGGAAATATTTCTTAACAGTGATTTTTTTCCTGCAGTTATGTTTTAACTACCAAAACTATTTTGGAGTTTAAATATTAAAATCCAAAATAACACTGTACCTTTTCCTTTGAGACAAGCAAATCAATAAAGAACGATGTCAAATTCATACTGTGATTTGAGCAATTTAACTTTCCCAAAAAAGCATGACATTAGCAAAAGCCAAGTAAAAATACCCCCAAACTGATTATGTTCCTCACCCCTTGCTTCTGAGTAGCACTGTCTTTTCAGTTGCCTTTTTAACCTGGGTTCTTAACCTTTTTTCAAATATTTTCCTCTAATTGGAGCTAGGTCATTAAATACCTACTACCACATTATTTCTGTGGCTGTATCTGAAACACATTCAATGACTAATTCCTGCATTCCTTGCCAAAGTCATATTCATATCCAGAGGACCTTAAGCGTTTATGAATATGAAATTGACTTTAGATGTTATTAGAGTAGTACTGAATTGGACATTTGAAAGAGTTCGTTTATGAATGTATAATACTATTACATTATGTCTAATTTTTAACTAAGCTTAAATATAGATTACCTTGGCTATATTACCAGTATATCCTGGAACCAAAGTAAGATGGTTTTCCTGTTCCCACAATCCACTTAATTGTTGTTTTAAAATCTGAATATTTCTAGGAGAAAAAAAGAAGAAAAAATGCAAATATAGTAAGATATGGACTTTGGTAGTAAATACACTTAATGAAAACAGCTTTAAAATTTTCAAGTATTTTTCAGGATACAATTATACCATTTGAAGTCAAGCAAATCTTTAAACTAGTACATGTCAATCATGAAAATTAACGGTTACCTAGTTGTTAGAGGAAGTAAGAAAACAACAGGCATTTGGAACATTCAGACAATCGAGTATGAAGTGGGAAAGTGGGAAAATTCTGAGAGCCTAGAAAACAAATTATGGATTTAAAGGAAACTGTTGGGAGATTTTTTTTTTGTAATTTCATGATAATCTGGCTCATTTGGTAGAATACCCACACATTTTCACATCAAGGCAATACTCAAATTATGATTATAATACAGTTTTTAGAAGTGTAATCATCCACACTGGACTCTCATGTTAATGTCTGGGAGCCAAAGGACCCCACAGGATGACTCCATTCCTGTGCCTCAATCTTATTCCACTAAAAGCCATCTCTTTTTCTCTCTCGCACTCCTTTCTAATGGATGTAAGGGTTAAACCACTGCTGTGCTTTTGCCTCCCCAAATGAAGGGTAGGATTCTGCCAGAACAATATATACAGGGGGTTACTGGGCTCTGGAATTCAACTTTTCACATATGAACAGTATCCCAATTTAATATTTCTCTGAAAATGAAGAGAATAAGTATTACATACTGATAATCATGAAATAAAATTCTCACCTAGCTTAATCAAGCTGCTTTTCCTGAAAAAAAACTTTATTAGTATGAGTTTAAAGGTATACTCACCCATCATTTATAATTTCTGTTTTGGATGATAGTTCTGACCACCACCTTTTTATGACTGCTTGAAGCCAGTTTAAACCAACTATTATATATCTGAAATGACATTTCATTACAAAATTCAAGTGTTTTCATCCAAGAAGCCTTTAGAAAAGATGACACTCTACCCCCCTCAAAAAACACATACACACTTATCTTTCCCTTTTAAAAAATTTATTTCACTACTTTCACAAAACTATACTTTATGTAACATGTTTATAGACAGTTTTATAATTGTTCTCTAGTCATTCCATATTCTTTTCCTAATTGGACTATAAGCTCCTGGAAAACAGAAACCATGTATGTCTCATGGAGCTCAGTCTACCACTATGCACTTATAAGGCACAAGATCAAGGATGCTGAAAGAGAAAAAAGAATTGAGATTCAGATTAGCACTTACTCTTCAAATTTGCTTTTAAGTAGTGACTTTACTAGAGGCAACAAGTCTACACAGCAGCCAAGTGAGATGTATTGTTTTTCCTCCTGTAAACTAAAGTAAATAAATACTAAGTTATAAAATTATGAACAGGTCATCATTTGTCCTTCTTTAAATGTACTTTTTTTCTGAAAAATATTCTTTATACCTATTGGTGAGCACAGGAAGGCAATCCACCACAACTCCAAGGTCTTCTATCCTGTGGGAACAAAATTGCTTAGATAGCTGATTTCCTTATTTATTTTCATATTATAACCTTCACACTGCTTTTGAGAAATCTACTCATTCAACAAATGATCTGAGTGTCTATGATGAGTCAGTTGTTGATCTGAGTGTCTATGATGAGTCAGTTGTTAGGGATGAGTCAGTTGTTAGCCGTGAACAAAGAAATAGGGCTTGTATTTCAATGTGTGTGAGTGTGGGAGGAGGTGGAGAGGGCAGGGACAGACAATAAACAAGTGAAATATATAAAGCATGTTGATGGTGGTAAGGGCTATGGAGAAAAATAAAATGGGAAAGAAGGATAGGGAGTGAAGAAATACGTATTTTTAAATAAGGTAGTCAAGGAAGGCCTCACCAAGGTAACATTTGAGGAGACTTAAATACAGTGAGGAAGGTAATGGTTAAAATTTTCACTCAAAGGGGATTTTTAAAGGTTGGTTTTCCCATAATGGTATCTCTTAGTTTTATAGATAAGAATCTTAATCAGAGAAGGTAACAGCTTTGTTCAATCTGATAAAACAGATGGTTTTCTGTATTTTGGTTACTCTTAGACCGAAGATAAATGTAATTTAAACCATACTGCTACTACTGAAGCTAAACATAGGAAGTTCAGAATTTTAGCCAGTATAACATAAAAAAGTAGAGGCACTTCTACATAATACATTGGAAATTACTTTTACTGAACAAAACCATAAAGGGTCACACTTACCTCACCAAATAAGCTACAAGTTCACTTATACTTCTCTTTCTCCAGAAAGTTAAAGCTACATTCAATCTCAAATTCCTGCTGAACAAAACCTGTGTCATTGTTTCATGGTCCTGAGAAACCTGAAAGGCAGGAATCTAATTAAGATATGACATGAAACCATTTTTTTCAATTAAATTATTCTGGTAGACATATTTTAAAATTAGGCAAAGATGACTCCTTTTACTGGCCCACAAAAAGGAATATTGCAGTGAACACAGTAAACAAATGATTTGAATAAATTTAGGACCTGTTTATTTTTTATCAATACTTTTTCTTATTTGCTACCATTTTCCTTTTAAATCTCAATAGTTCATAGAATAAATTATTTTTACTCACCTAAAAACCTAGGATTTAATTTATAATGTGTATTAAATAAAAAGGTAAACATATAGGCTAGTCATTACCAACTGAACAGCATGAGTAGGGAACCACAGAAATTAAGTTTTGTGACAAGTATTTAAATTCATTCATTTTTTTCTGTATAATTAAGGTAATATATTCCTGTTGTAAAAAGTTCAAGTAGCACAAAACTTTATAAAATAAAAAGTGAATATTCTCTACTTGCCCACAAAAACAACTAACATTACTCAGGAGTAATCACAGTTAACAGACTGGTAAGTATCTTTCAAACCACTTTCTAGACAAAGACAAATTAGGTAGATATAAAATTAAAATATTCTAATATCTATATTTTTGAAAACCTTGTTTTTTCACACACATTATGAAGATTTTTCAACGTCAGAACATAGATCAGTCTCATTTTTAAAAAACAATTACATATTCTCCAGTCTTTATGTATCATAATTTTAGATTGATTCTAGTTTTTCCCTATTAAAACTGTGCATCAATGAACATCCTTATGTATATAAATACGTGCACTTGTACAGAACCTTCTGTAGGATTAATTTTAGAACTGGAACAGCTAGATCCAATTTTTTTCAATAACAGATTAAGATATAATTCACATACCCATTTTGAATGTACAATTCAGTAACTTTTAGTATATACATTCACAGAGTTGTGCGAGCACCACCATAATGAATTTTAGAACCTTTTCGTCACTCCCAAAAGAAACTCTGGACTCCACTCTCCCCTCTCTACAGTTCCTCACAACGATTAATCTACTTTCTGTCCCTATGACTTTACCTAATTTGGACGGTTCACATAAATTGAATCATACAATATGTGGCCTTTTTTTGTGTGTGGCTTCTTTCACATAGCATGATGTGTGAAAGATCAAGATTTATATACAGTGTAGCATATTGGTGTTTTACTCCTTTTTAATGATCAAATAATATTCTATTGTATGGAATATGACACTTTATTTACCCATAGTCCATTGATGGACATTTGGATTGTTTCCACTTTTGGCTATTATAAAATGTTATAAGCATCTGTTCATAAATATCTGTGTGGACTTATGTTTTCAATTCTCTGGGTATATACCTAGGAGTGCAACTGTCGGGTGAAAAGGTTATGTATATTTGAACTTTGACAAAATAATATAGCATCACTTTTAAATTTAGGTTTTTAGAGCAGGCACTAGTCAATCAGGAAAAAACGTCTGAAACAACAAAAGAACAATCAATAAACCCATTAGTTGAGGTTAATGCAGGTTTGTGAAAAGTAGTGAAATGGGAGCAAGGTTAAAGGAAGCCCTTGAAAAAATGCCACATTGCGGCACTAATACAAATGTGAAACTGCAGCTTTAAGGCATTTTCACTGAGAATGTTTATTCCCTCAGTTCAACTGAAGAACCAACCTAGGTCCCAATCTAGGCCAGATTTCTGGACTATATAGTCACATGTTCTTTTCCTCCAGGGTATGTAGTTTCTTTGATTTTCTGATCTGTGTCGGCCTCATCACTTCTATAACTACATGAAAGTAGGGGTAGTGTCTGTTTTTCACCCACCAATCCATTTCTCAGAGCCTGCAGAATGCACTGCACAGCAGGGAGCAATCAATAAATATTTGTGAATGACTTAGTATGACAGTGATCCTCTGTAACACTAAGGTTTAGGTACCTGTAGGTATCCTATTCTCCAGGGCTCAAAAAATTCACTATTAAATTCTCCTTGCTCCCTCTTTTCTCACAGATACCATACACACTTCCTTCATCTCTCCTAGCATTACTAACTTTCTATTACTCCAGAATCTTTTCTTTTGGCCTCCTGAGCAGCTTTCGGGATCTTAGTTCCCTGACCAGGGATCGAACCTAGTCCCACGTCAGTAAAAGCACCAAGTCCTAACCACTGGACCACCAGGGAACTCCCCCAAGATCTTATTTACACAGGAACACTTCCACTGGCAAATGGAATCTTTGCATCATCTCATTATGGTTTTAGTTAATAACACTTTGTTTTCTACCTTTGTTTTGTATCATTTACTTGTAATTATTATCCTACGTATGATGCTCATTTTCATTCATCTACATACTTATGACCATTTAAATATAAAAAGATTCTTTTTTTGCTTGTATGCCACAGAAAATGCTTTTCAAACTGTCATGCCAGATAGAAACAATACTAAGTTTACCAAGTCATAGTTAAAGAAATTAAGGTAATTTAATCAATGTAATGTTATGTATCTATTAATTATATAATATCTTTGTATGATGACAGATGGTAACTAGACTTATTGTGGTGATCATTTTGAAATGTACAGAAATATCAAATCACTACACTGTGCACCAGGAACTAACATAGTGTTGTAGGTCTATTACACATCAAAACAAACAAATAAACAAACTCACAAAAAAAGAGATCAGATTTGTGGTTACCAGAGGCAGGACGTGGCTTGGCTGAGGGGAAATTGGAGGAAGACAGTCAAAAGGTACAAACTTCTGGCTATAAGATAAATAAGCACTAGGGATGTAACGCACAACTTGGTAAATATAATTAACACTGCTGTATTTTATATATAAAAGCTGTTAAGAGAGTAAATCCTAAGAGTTCTCATTACAAGGAAAAAATTTTTTTTCCATTTTTAAAATTTTGTATCTATATATGATGGATGTTCACTAAACTTAATGTGGTAATCATTTCATGATGTAGTTAAGTCAAACCATTATGTGTATACCTTAAACTTTTAAAATGCTGTATGTCAATTATATCTCAATAAAACTGGAAGGGAAAAAATTGTAGAAGTGTTATTTTAATTACATGGAAAAATATTCAAATTTATTAAACATAAAAATCAAATTATCAAACAATATGGAGAAAAAATACACATCAAAACTTTAATACTGTTATTTACAAATGTTGAAATTACAGATAATTTTTTCCTTTGGATTTATTTTCTATAACATATACAATAAACATGTAATAATTATTATTGTAAACTCGTGTTTATAAATTTTAACAAACCATTCTTTCAAATAACCATTAAAAAAATGGTTTTCCTGAGGTATAATTTACATACCATAAAACTCACACATATTTAAAATACGTAATTCAATGATTTTTAATAAATCTACAGAGTTGTGCAACCATCATCACAGTCCAGTTTTAGAACATTTCTATCATCCAAAACAATTCCCGTGAACCTGTTCAAACAACTAACTTTGCCTGAGCCAGAAGAACAGCAAAACTAAGCAGGTTTGCCTTAAAAAACTTTCCAATGGCAATTTTGAGAGCCCAGCAAAATGTGCCTGGATAACTGGCTTTCATGGTTCACTTGTTAGGCAAGATTTCTTCTTTTCCTTTTCTTTAAGTCTCTACTGGCCAACTTTCCATTCTGGATATTTACAGCAGCTTGTTAATCATTTCATTCCATCTCAGATATCATTAACTTGGAAAAATGGAATAAACAACTGATTCAAATTTAATTAATCTAGAAAATTGTCTCAGGGTGTTACAGTCTCTCAAATAGTCTGAATTTAATCAGCAGTGAACTATTTTGCTAGTAGACTATCGCAAAGGAAAAAGCCAGTATTAAAACAGGAATAAAGTTAAGCTTATATAAATGACTTACCTCAGAAAAAAACCCACTATATTTTGATGATGGGCTTTCTGTCTGTGAAGAACCAGAATCACTGGGGCTAACCAGATATGGTCGACTACCCTGCCGCACTTGCTCAGGGAGGCGGCCTGCACAAGCCAGCTCATTCTCTTTATTTGCCATGTCACAGCCCCCGCTGTTGGGGGACTGCTTTTTTCTGTAGCAAGGATTTTGAAAAGGATGATGAACTTTCTTTCTGTGATAGATCACCTTACGTAGTTTATCTGGGCTTTTCACAGCTTGTCCAACTGTTCTGTAAAAAGAATGGATTTTCTTAAATGAAAAAGAACCATATGAAAACCTTTAAAAGTTTTTAAAGAGAAAGATTTAGTAGGCCACATTTTGTGATCACAATCCACTAAAATTAGAAGTAAGCAGAATAATTTTTTAAAATCTTAACTCTTAGATTGAAGAGGAAAATAAAAGGGAAATTATAAACCATCTGGAAAACAATGAAAAGGATGGTACTTTACACCAAAAGAGGAAAAAAAAAAATGAAGAAGCATAATAACTAGATGCTTTTAAAACGAACTACAGGGCATTCAGGGAGTATGAAAATTTTAACAATTTCCATTCACCTAATCTTTTTCTAACAAAGTGATAGAATAAGTGAGCAAGTTCGAATATTTTAATTTGAATCAGGCAAGTCTGAATATATATTTTAATATAAAAGAGAACACTTATTTCGATTAAGCTGAAGTACAGTTAATTTGTTTGAATAAGATAAAATACTACTGAGCACATCTCATGGTTTAGTATAATGGTTCTCAAATGTTTTGACCTCAGGATGCTTTGCACTCCTAAAAATTATTGAGGTCTCAAAAGAATTTTTTTTATGTGGGCAATATCTACTGATATTTGATGAATCAGAAACTAAAACAGAAAATTTGTTAATCAATTTTAAAGATGATAAACTCGGGGGAATTCCTGGTGGTCTAGTGGTTAAGACTCCACACTTCCACTGCTGAGGGCATGGGTTCAATCCCTGGTCGGGGCTAAGATCCCACATGCCTCAGAGCACAGCCAAAAAAAGAAAAAGAAAAAGATAAACTCATTACATACTACATAGAATATATTTTTTTAAATCTTCTATTTTCCAAAACAAACGAACAAAAAATATAGTGAGAAGAATGGCACTGTTTTGCATTTGTGCAAAATCTCTAATATCTGGTTTAACAGAAGACAGCTGGATCCTCATATCTGCTTCTGCATTCCATATATTGTGATATCAAATATCATGTAGCTGCTGGAAAACTCTACTGTACACTTGTAAGAGAGTGGAAATGAAGAAGGTAAATAATGTCTTAGTATTGTTATGAAGATAGTTTTGACCTCACAAACTCATTGAAAGGCCTTTGGGACCTCCAGGGTCCACAGATCACACACTTTGAGAACCAGTGGTTTAGTAGAAAGCGCCTTTGGAGTTTGGCAGATCTGACAGTAAATGCCGTTTTTACCACCTTCTGGATGTACAATCCTAAAGAAATCACAAGTCTTTAGTTTTACTCATCAACTGTTTGGGGTAATGATACCTATCTAATATTGATATATTTAGCACAGTACCTGGCACAAAGGAGTTGTTTGACAATAAATTAGTATTATTATACTAAAAGACAATACTCCCCCCCCCCATTTTCACTCTTACCCAGTTTTCAATATTTGCTGTTTCCCACAAACTTTAAAGAAGCTCTTACCTAGTTATGTAAGCAGCCAACTGTTTTGGAGATTTCTTAACCTGAAAAATAAAAGTAGATAGTTGCAGCATATTTAAGTTCCTTAACAAAGCTATGTAAACTTTGTGATTAATGTCAACAAGTCTGAAATTGAACTATTAAATTTTTCAGATTAAAGCTCTTACTGTACTGATGCTGTACTCTCAATCATTGGTTACAACAACACTGTACGTAGGTATTTTTAACAACGCAACATACCCATCTGGCTAGTTTCCACGCTACTAGTCACATATTATATATACAGAGTGCTAAATAAATGAGTTGAATTTTAAGAAATTATATCAGTGCTAATGAGCCTTGCAATGGGTGAACAAAAAGCATCTCTGTGATTCCTCTAAAATTAAATTAAAATATTCAAATTATACTATATCAAAACAATATACCGCCAAAAAGTTTTCAGAGCTTTTGGAATACAGATTTCAATTATTTTATTAATTCTACTTAATTTTGGCAGATTGAGCAGAACTGTCAACCTCCCATTTTTTAAACACTTTAATAACCAGAAGTATCTATAGACTTAGCAGTTTAAATTGTGTCAAACTGAATGACTGTGTCTCCCCAAAATTCCTCTGTTGAAATCCTAACCCCCAGAGTGATGGTATTAGGAAGTAAGGCTTTTGGGAGGTGATAAGGTCATAAAAGTAAAACCCCATGAATAAGATTAGTGTCCTTATAACAGAGAGCCCAGCGAATTCTCTCTCTCTCCCCTTCTGTCATGTGAGGAAGTAGAGAAAAGCTATCTATGAACCAGGAAGTGGGCCCTCACTGGATATCAACTCTGCTAGGGCCTTGATCTTGGACTTCTCAGCCTCCAAAACTGTGAGAAATAAATTTCTGTTGTTTATGAGCCACACAGTCTATGGTATTCTGTTTGTGTAGCAGCCCAAACAGACTGAGATACTGTCTTACCCATTCCTAGAAACCATGGACTTACTTACCTCCTTCATGTTCTTATTAGTGAAATTAGAGACCCTTTTTCTAGGAACATCAATGAAATGATCTTCAATATTATTACAAAAGTTGCGTTTTTTAACATTGTGGGTTTCAGATGCCATAATCTCTTAAATACCTAGACAAAAAATAAAAATAATAAATGGAAAATACAAAAAGCAAACGAGCCTGATCCTTTCCTTAACACACATAAAAATACAACAGCTCTACGCTATATAAAAGAGGCTTACAAGTAAAGCAAAGGACATGTGGGCATACCTCATTTTATTGCACTTCACAGATATTGTGTTTTTTTGGTTTTTTTTTTAACAAATTGGAAGTGTGTGGCAACTCTGCATCAAGCAAATCTATTGGCACCATTTTTCCAACAGCATTTGTTCACTTCATGTCTGTGTCACATTTTGGTAATTCTCACAATATTTCAAACTTCTCCATTATTATATTTGTTATAACGATTTGTGATCAGGGATCTTTGATGTTACTACTGTAGTTGTATTTGAGCACCATGAACCTTGTCCACATAAGATGGTGAACTTAACTGATAAATGTGTGTGTTCTGACTGCTCCACTGACTGGCTATTCCCCGCTCTCTCCCTCTCCTCGGATCTCCCTATTCCCTAAGACACAACAATATTGAAATTAGGTCAATGAATAACCCTACCATGGCCTCTAAGTGTTCAAGTGAAAGGAGCAGTGCCAAGTCTCTCCTTTTAAGTCAAAAGCTAGAAATGATTAAGCGTAGTGAGGAAGGCATGTCAAAAGAGAGAAGGCTGAAATCTAGGCCTCTTGCACCAGTTAGGCAAGTTGTGAACGCAAAGGAAAAGTTCTTGAAGGAAATTAAAAGTGCCATTCCAGTGAACACATGAATGGTAAGGCGAAAAAGCCTCATTGCCGACATGGTGAAAGTTTTAGTGATCTGGATAGAAGATCAAACTAGCCACAACATTCCCTTAAGCCAAAACCTATTCCAGAGCAAGGACCTAACTCTCTTTAATAAAGGTTGAGAGAGGTAAGGAAGCTGCAGAAAAGTTTGAAGCTAAGAGGTTAACTCATAAGGTTTAAGGAAAGAAGCCATTTCTATAACATAAAAGTACAAAGTGAAGCAGCATGTGCTGATGTAGAAGTTGTAGCAAGTTATCCAGAAGATCTAGCTAAGATAATGAACGAAGGTGGCTACACTGAACCACAGATTTTCAATGGAGATGAAACGGCCTTCTGTTGGAAGAAGATGCCATCTGGGACTTTCATAGCTAAGAGAGAAGTCAAAGCTTGGCTTCAAAGCTTCAAAGGACAGTCTAACTCTCTTCTTAGGGGCTAATGTGGCTGATGACTTTAAGTTGAAGCCAGTGATCACTTACCATTCCCCAAATCCTAGGGCCCTTAAGAACTATGATAAATCAACTCTACTTGAACTCTATAATGAAACAAGAAAGCCTGGATGAAAGCATATGTGTTTACAATATGGTTTACTGAAGATTTTAAGCCCACTGTTGAGACCTACTGCTCAGAAAAAAAGATTCCTTGCAAAATATTACTGCTCATTCACAATGCACCTGGTCACCCAAGAGCTCCGATGAAGGTGTACAATGAGATTCATGTTGTTTTTATGCCTGCTAACAGAGCATCCATTCTTCAGCCCATGGATCAAGGAGTAATTTTGACTTTCAAGTCTTATTATTTACGAAATATATTTTGTAAGGCTATAGCAGAGTAAATTGAAAAACTTCTGGAACAGATTCAACATAGATGTCATTACAAACATTTGTGACTCATGGGAAAAGGTCAAAATATCAACATTAACAGGATTTTGGAAGAGTTGATTCCAACCCTAATGGATGACTTTGAGGGGTTCAAGACTTCAGTGGAGGAAGTAACTACAGATGTGGTAGAAATAGCAAGAGGACTGGAATTAGAAGTGGAGCTGGAAGATGTAACTGAATTGCTGCAGTTTCATGATAAAACTTTAACAGATGAGGAGCTGCCTTTTCTGGATGAGCAGAGAAGATGGATTCTTGAGATGGAATCCACTCCTGGTGAAGGTGCTGTGAAAACTTTTGAAATGACGGGAAAGAATTTATATAGAATATTGCCAAACTCAGTTGATAAAGCAGCGGCAGGGTTTGAGAGGACTGACTCCAATTTTGAAAGAAGTTCTGCAGTGGGTAAAGTGCTATCAAACAGCACTGCATGCTACAGAGAAATCATTTGTGAAAGGAAGAGTCAATTGACGCAGCAAACTTCACTGCTGTCTTATTTTAAGAAACTGCCATAGCCACCCCAACTTCAGCAACCACCACCCTGATCAGTCAGCAGCCATCGACACTGAGGCAAGACCTTCCATCAGCAAAAAGATTACGACTTGTTGAAGGCTCAGATGATGGCTAGCAATTTTTAGCAATAAAGTATTTTTAAATTAAGGTATGTACATTTGTTTAAACATAATGCTACTGCACACCTAATAAACTACACACAGTATAGTGTAAACATAACTTTTATATGCAATGGGAAACCAAAAAATTTGTGTGACTTGCTTTATTAAGGTGGTCTGAAACCAAACCTGCAATATCTCTGAGGTATGAATGTAGTTCTAAGTTATACATTTTTTAAAAGCCTTAAACATAGAGGAAGCACAAGGCAGGGGATTCCAGTAAAGTTCTTTCTGTTCTCATTCTTAAGTTGCAACCAGTTACAATAATATGGCATGTACTTTTTGCCAACACAACATGTCAATCTCCCCATTTTCCATATCACTAGCCATATATTATTAAAGTTTATGAAATCAGGTCTAATAGTAGTGGTATCTTGAAATTCGCACGGAAGCCTAAATTTTTGGAAGCAAATCACTGGGTCGTATACAACCATAAGCAGCCAGGGGAACCAAAATCAGACTATATATATCTGACTTGTTTTATGCCCAACCTTTAAATTTTTCTTTCATTAGTGCAGCTAGCTTTCTTCCATCTTTGAAAAATATAACCCACATTCTTTTGCTCCTCCAATTATATCCAAAGGGCAGAAAATAGATGCTGTGACTTCATTTATGTAACAGAGGATGTTAGTGACTTTCCCACTTGCACTCAGGTTTCACATAGCAAATTTACTTCAGGTCATGCCCTGAAAACCAAGTTTCTCCCTCATTCTTCTTTTTTTTTTTTTTTTTTTTTTCGGTACGCGGGCCTCTCACTGTTGTGGCCTCTCCAGTTGCGGAGCACAGGCTCCGGACGCGCAGGCCCAGCGGCCATGGCTCACGGGCCCAGCTGCTCCGCGGCATGTGGGATCTTCCTGGACCGGGGCACGAACCCGTGTCCCCTGCATCGGCAGGCGGACTCTCAACCACTGCGCCACCAGGGAAGCCCTCCCTCATTCTTGTTTTAAACATTTATTGAGCATTCATTATATGCCAGGCCCTGGAGTTAATGTAGATGACAGACAGCGATCCTGTTCTAAAGAATCATTTAGGAAGCTTTCTGAAAATACATCTTTCTGGGCCCTAATTTCAGACTATACCTCAGCAGGTATCAGGAAAAAAGCCCAAAACAATTATATTTTTAAAAAGCCCCACAGGTATTTTTATCATTAAAAAAAATTTTTTATTGAAGTACAGTTGATTTATCATGTGGTGGCAATCTCTGCTGTGCAGCAAACTGACTCAGTTACACACATAGAGACATTCTTTTTTAATATTCTTTTCCATTATGGTTTATCACAGGATATTGAGTATAGTTCCCTGTGCTACACATTAGGACCTTGTGGTTTATCCATTCTAAATGTAATAGTTTGTATCTACCAACACCAAACTCCCAGTCCATCCCTCTCCCTCCCTCTCCCTCCCTGCCCCTCCCCACAGGTTTTTCTGATACACATTCTTAGTAAAAAAAAAAAAAAAAATCTGTCTTAGAGAATTTTCCAAAAATATACACGAACACAGGAAATTCTGCAATCAATTTCAGGGTATTTTACGATTTCTTGCCGCTAATTCAGGGACAGCCCATCCACTTGTGCCCCCAGGTTACTAAACCTCTAGGATGAGACTTTTAAAAAAGTAAATAAATAATTGCAGTAATACAATAAGCACTCTGACAGAGGGGCACCCATGCAAGTCAGCAAATCTCCACTGAGGAAAAGTCTTCTAGGGCAAATAGCACATTGAGAAAATAGCATGTGTAGAACTGAAAGGCATGAAGCAACATGATTTGCCTGGCAATGTGTTAAGTAGATGCATGTGACTAGAGCTTAGGCTGGGGGTGTGCTGCAGCAGAGTGAGAAATGAGGCTGGAGAGATAGGCAGAAGCTAGATCATAAAGGGTTCTGTGCACAAGGTAAGCTTTTTTGTTTGTTTGTTTTGTCTTTGAAAGAAAGGGGGACTTTTAGTTAAAGATAATGGACTAAACACGTGCAATTACTTTTACCTTTCCCTGAAACCCTATTACAATGACAGTAAAGAAGATTTTAAAGGCATAAACCCCATAAGGGCAAAGAATAGAAGATGAGGCAATGGCAACAACATTTTGGAAACTGCAAAGCATAAGTGGTAAATGACTTAGCAGATCTGAGAAAGCAAAATCCTAAAGCATCAGTGAGGAAAGGTGAAAAGCAGAATCCCCCAAAGGTTCAGAAATTGGCAATACTAAGGACCTCAAAAAGTGGGATAAAGGTGGGCTTAAGAACAAGTACAATGAATGAATGTCCATTTAAGACACAGTTAAGAGTCCTAGATCCCCTTCCCCATTTCAGTAAAAAACTGGAGTTTTATTGTATGGAAAATCTAAAACAGAGTCCTTGGGATGGGAAACACCAGGCACAAATGTGGGTGAGAGGAACATATTCTAAACAGGGCGATCAAGTGAAAGTTTACATACTAAATGTTAAGACCTCTAACCTTCTTTCTACCACATGCCTCACAGAGGCTTGTAGCCAGGCTTAAATACTCCAGGGAAAGAGTACTGAAGATGCTTCTTTGGGAACTCTGATCAGTCCCAGAGGAAAACACACACACACACACACACACACACACACACACACACTCCTAAAAATACTGACATCAGTGATGGTCAAAGTCCCCAAAGAACTTTTTATATCTTGATTATGGTAGTAGTTACCTGTCAAAACTCTAATAGC